TCAGGGTATTTTAAGGATTACAGACACATTTTTTCAGCTGAGTTGGCTCAAACCTGATATTTTCAGTTCTCCTTGAGTGGCAAATCTTCCTATTAACAATTATAAATACCAGTCGACGTTTTGCTATGGATTCCATGAATTCTAATTGAGGATCAAATATTCCAACCAGATATTATCTATATAGGTTCACAATCAAGTATAGCTCCCCATATAACGATAGGAATCATTATTCGGTATTTTGCATGCGTTTTTCAATCGAATGAACTGTCATTCGATAATTTGATTTTCGTTGGTTGGGAAAATTTTCCTAACAAAAATTATAAATATCGGTCAATTTTTGGGTATAGTCGCATCCATATAAAGGCTCAATCTATTTTTCTTATCTATTTTAATGGGTCCTAGACTCATTTTACAAATCTATATTTCAGCATAACGAAGATGTGTGGCTGTAATTTATCATTTTTCACAAAAACAAATTTTCAATACTGGTTCATGTTTCCACATATTCGCCATTCAAAGGACACTCATTATTTCCGGTATTTTCAAGGTCCTAGACCAATTCTGCATCCTGAGAATCTGTAGATTTATATTTCGTTTTCTTCTGGCCGAAATTTACCATTAATGCAAATAAGTCCCTTATCGATTTTTTCGTATTTTGAATGACTAACTCATGGTGGAGGTTCGGTTTGGCCGAACTTCCGGATATTTTTGTTGGTCTTCTATAGAAAAAAGTAAGATCTCATAACATGGAAAATTGATTTCCTTTTCTATAGAAAAAAAAAATCTCAAACTGTTTTTTTTTTTTTTTGTGAATCCACAAAAAAAAAAACGAAGAACAACAACAACATCATCGACAAATATGATCAAGCGCAACTTCCTCAAAATAGGAATAATAAAAATTAACAACAACAAAAATGTTGGTGTTACAATTTGGTTTTCAAAAGTTGTTTACAAATAAAACGCAATCACAAAAACAACACCAACAATGTCAGCAGCCCAAATTCAACTAAACAAAAATTCCAACATAACCGAAAATCGTAAAAAAATAATAAAAAAAATATTCTCACAATGTAGACCACGCCGGGGCCGGCCAGAGTCTCGCTGTAAAGCTCTGGTTTGCTAACGCAAAGACTTTTCTGTGGTATTTCGTCAGTGAAAAAAGAAACACAACAACATCAACAATAAAAAAAGTCACTGGGTCGACCTTAAATTTTGTGTTTATGAGAGCAAAAGCTGCCGCCACAGAGCCCCCTCCGGGGCACCAGCAAGCAGTGCAATCAGACCCATAATAATACTGCTGCTGATGATGAGGATGACGATGGTCAAGATATTGTAATCACTCAAAAAAAAAAACGCACACACATAACAATCCAAAAACAAGAACAAGCCGCCACATTGCCATGAAGAAAATTCCAAAACAACAACAACAAAAAACTAAACGAACTCTCAAGAAAACGAAGAAGAAGAAGTTGAAAAAAAAAATACCACCATAACATGATCACACATTTTTTAGATTCCATTCATGATGTTGTTTTGTTTTGGAGGACAGACAAACCCCGGCAAATCAACGGATGGATGGACGGACGATCGGTGGGTCGGGACAGACAAACTATAAAGCTTGTAAAAACCAAAACATCGTTAAATGTTCGTTTTTTTCTACTGTCGAACGAACGGCATTGATCAATCTGGTGCTGGGCCATATGGAATGGCATTGCGTGGAGTGGAGTGGCACAAACACAGATAGTAAACACATACCATAGCAGCAGTAACACCACCGGCACCAAACACCAGAGCAGTTCCACAGCAACGAACAAAACAAGCATGGATCATGAACAAAGTTGTTGTTTTATGCTTGGTCGTAGTGGTGGTCACAGTGTTATGCCTGGAGAATGACAGCCTAATATTTATTTCTTTAAGAGATCTATTATTGAGTCCGCAGGTACAGGTTATACAACATGAAAACTGATTTTCCTAATACTCAGTTCTAAGGTTTATTCTTCCTTTATAAGAAAAATTCTAACCTCAGGTTCGGAGTTGTATTATTTCTTACTATAGAAAAAAACAATAAACCTCAGCTGTATATTTGGAGGTTGAAAAGGTATCTTTGCAGAACTTTATCGATATAGGTTCGTGTTTTGACATTGGCCAGATACAAAGGTCCCGTTTCATTTGTTTATATTTTGGAGGTTTTTTAACCGCATTTTTTTCCACTGAAGAGACTGACATTCCAATTTATCTGCACAAAATGTTCAATATAGGTCCATGTTTTGAGGTTGCCCATATAATGTATCCGTTCATGTTCGATATTTTTTTATGTTTAATGAACATTTTGCCACAGAAGTTTGACATTCCGCATTTCCGGAGAATGAAACCCTTCTTAGAAATTTCCCAATATTGGTCCATGTTTTTACATAGTTCCCATACGAAGATCCGCATAATTTTGAGTATATTTGCCAAGTTGACTATATACAGCTCTGTGGGCGATGTTGATGTGTTGGGGAGATATATTACGCTGATGAAGCCGATGTAAACAAATAGGAAAGTTATGGGAACAAATTTGGCCAAGAGGCACCCTCCAGCTCTCCCCTCAGTTCGTCTATGAAGACTACCTTCAGCTTGTTCATGGCCCGTCCAAAAGGATGTCTTCCGGCTCGTCTATAAAGACTTCCTTCAGTTCGTCTATAAATACTTCATATAGCTCGTCTATAAGTACATCCTCCAGCTGGTATAAAAATACTATAAACGTTGCCCACGGCACGTCTAAACAGATGCCCTCCACCTGGTATAAAAATACTCCCCTCAGCTCGTCTATGAAAGACTCCCTTTAGCTTGTCTATGAAAGAATTTTTGCTACCAATAATTTAAAATAAACCTGGTCCCCATATAAAAATTGCAATCGATTTGGGGTATTTTGAATCTCCACCTCATGGTGAAGGTTATTAAAAGTTCGATTCGGCCGAATCTAACGAAATTTGTATATTTCATGTAACACAATTTGTTTTATTTATTCAAAATATTAACCTCATCCCTTTCCTTTTTTCTTTTTTTACAGATTTTTTTACTACTATTAATGAAATATTATTGCCAAATAAAACTGACTAACCGGGAGTGGATATAACAGAAGTCGGAGGAGACGTCAGAAGTAGAAGTCTAATCTAAGTTCTAAAATAAACAAAAAAAAAATGACCATCATCACTGATCAGCAACAGTACAATAACAGAGATGCTAGAGATTTTATTACAAATCACAATTTAATGGCCAAGAAGCGGAAAATGTATTTATTTAAGCGTGGTGGCGGTGGTGGTGGTGAATCGCTCGGTAATGCCAGCAGGATGGCGTCATGTGTGACTACCACAATAATAAACCCACTGACCACAATAATAAATACAACAGGAACAATAACATCACAACAGCAACAACAAAACCAATTAACAACAACGGCATCAGCAACAAGAACAACATCATTATCCACAACAATAACAACACCAAACGAAACGTTTCCATCCAATTTGTTTTCCAATACAATAACAGCAACAATAACTACCACCACAAATTGTTTAAGGGGTCCTATTGACCACAACGAAGAAGCAGAAGAAGCGGAAAAAGTATTGCAGCAAAAACATCAGCAGTGGCGGCAAAGTCATCACCACCAACAGCATCCACATCAACATCATCATCACCAGAGACCACATCAACATCATCAGCAGCAGCAACAACAACCACATTGTCATCATTGTTCCTTCTCGAAAGTGTCGGATAACGACGACAACGAACTACATCCCAAAGCATTATGCCAAGACTTGAGAAAGTCAGCAACAACGCTCAATTTTTTAACATCGAATCCTCAACAGCCACAGCAGCAACAATTATTTCCTGAGGATGAGAGGTATCAGCAGCATCACCACCACCAGCATCCGTGTAATCATCACCACCATTATCAATACCAAACAAGTTGCTCATCACCCTCTACCAATATGAACTGCCAATGTAATAGACATTACTCTTGTTGCTGTTGTAGTACAACGACAACAACAACAACAATTGGAAAACAAAGACCATGGTGTCCGTCCATGAATTCCTATTATCCATTAAGTTATAACAACCACAACAACAGCAAGTGTTGTAGTAGTACCAGTAGTTGTAGCTGTTGTTGTTGGTGCGGCAAAACTGATGCAGATGTTGTTGCTGCCGATAGTCGTCAAGTGTCAATAATCCATGGAGAGAATGAAGCTCAAAACCAACGGCACCAGCAACAGAGACTTTACAACAAATCAATAAACTCAACAACAACTGCATTTTCTCCTTCCACCTGCACGAACAACGGCAACAGCACGAATAGCAGCCGCCACAGAAAAAATGAAACCCACAACCCAAATCCTTCCAATATTCGATGCTGTAGTAGCTGTCATTGCTTCCATAATCTAAACACTTCCAGAAAGCCACAATTGGAGGCCAATGTATTTGCGGCGGCGGAGGTGGAGGAAGAACTACTAGTAGACTCACATGCAAATATGGAACTGAATTTAGAGACATTTTCTCCAACCCTAACCTGTAATGTTGCCTCTTCCACCACCACCAACACCAACTCCAATCATCAAACAACACCGCCTTGCAACAGTCAGCCGAGTTCTTGTTATGGACCAATGTTTTCAATATTTTTTATGATTTTTCGATTACTTTCGGCAGCACAATATCTACGTCAGCGGCGGCATCGAATTACCAGCAAAAGACAATGCCAAGATTTTTTCTCAATCCCCCCATCTAAGAAGCAAAGTACGCCGCAAAGGACCACATGTATTGCCACAACTACCTTGAGGAGTACCCTGTTCATGAGCTTATCACTACTTTGCCTATTCTTCCTATCGTCTTCGTCAGCCTCCCAGATCATCCCAACATCCACAACGCCAACAGAAACCTCGTTAGAGGCATCAATAAAAGACTTTACCAGATCAACGGAACGTGCTCTGACCACTGATATTGGTTCATCGAGGACGGAAGTACGGCTGGGACGTAAAGAGACTGGTATGTAGAGTATAAAAAATATTTATTTTTTTTAATAAACAAATCAAATAACAATTTTGCGCGTTTTTTAAGGGAAAAATCGGAACAAAGATATGCCACTAATTTTTCAAAAAAATAATAATAAATAAATAAATAAATAAAAAAGGACCACTTTGAACGAGCTGAAGGCCAGAGAGTCTTTATAGACAAACTAAGGGACAGGGAGACTTTATAGACGAGCTGAAGAACACGGAGACTTTCTAGGTGAGCATTAGCGGGGAGTCCTTTTAGGCACTATAGCAGGAAGTTTTTAATAGACGAGCTGATTATAGGGAGCCATTATATACGAGCTGAAGATTTGAAAATCTTTAGAGGCAAGATGAAGCACAGGAAGCCTTTGTGACGAGCTGGAAGACAGTGAGCCAAATTGCAAGATGAAGGGCAAGGAGTCTTTGTGGATAAGCTGAAAGGCAGGGAGTGTATAGTCAAGATGAAGGGCAAGGAGTCTTTATAGACTAGTTGAAGGACAGGGAGTATTTATGGACGAGCTCAAAGGCAGGAAGTTTTTATAGGCAAAATAAAGCAGAAAATCTTTATAGACGAGCTGAAGGTTAGGGAGTCTGTATAGACGAACTGAAGGGCAGGGAGTCTTTATAGACGAGCTGAAAGGCATGGATTTTTTTGCAGACGAACTGAAAAGCATGGAGTCTTTGTAGACGAGCTGAAGGGCAGGAAGCCTTTATAGGCGGGCTGAAGATCAGGGAGTCTGTATAGACGATCTGATTGGCAGGGAGTCTTTATAGACGAGCTGAAGGTCAGGGAGTCTTTATAGACGAGCTAAAAGGCATGGAGTTTTTTGCAGACAAATTGAAGGGCAGGGAGTCTTTATAGACGAGCTGAAGGCCAAGGAGTCTTTATAGACGAATTTAAGGCCAAGGCGTCTTTATAGAGGAACTGAAGGGCAGGGATTCTTTATGTATAGGTAAGAGTCTTTATGGACGAGCTGAAAGGCATGGATTTTTTTGCAGACGAACTGAAAAGCATGGAGTCTTTGTAGACGAGCTGAAGGGCAGGAAGCCTTTATAGGCGGGCTGAAGATCAGGGAGTCTGTATAGAATCTGAAGGGAGCTTTATAGACGAGCTGAAGGTCAGGGAGTCTTTATAGACGAGCTAAAAGGCATGGAGTTTTTTGCAGACGAATTGAAGGGCAGGGAGTCTTTATAGGCGAGCTGAAGGCCAAGGAGTCTTTATAGACGAATTTAAGGCCAAGGCGTCTTTATAGAGGAACTGAAGGGCAGGGATTCTTTATGTATAGGTAAGAGTCTTTATGGACGAGCTGAAAAGCATGGAGTCTTTGTAGGCAGACTGAAGTGCAGGAAGCCTTTATAAGCGGGCTAAAGGTCAGGGAGTCTGTATAGAAGAGAAGCAGAAAGTCTTTATAGACGAACTGAAGTGTAAGGAGTCTTTATGTATAGGCACCATGAAGGGCATGGAGTCTTTATAGGCGAGATAAAACAGAGAGTCTTTATAAACGATCGGAAGCAGAGAGTCCTTATAGACGAGCTAAAAAATAATAATACCTAAAATAGATCGGGATTTGTATATGGGGGCCATGCCATTGTAAATTGCTGCCAGGAGAAAACGATATACCAGATTTTGGAAAATTGGTCTAGGACCTTGAACATAGCGAAAATGTTACGGGAACATTGTATGGGGGCTATGTAGGAATAGGGTCTTATATTGAAAAGGTCCTAATAAGAAATGGCACAGAATGCTTGGGAACTTCTCAAAATGTCTATAAAGGCTAGGCTAGACCATTATAACGAACCCTATTTATAACCAACCCAATGAGAACTCAAAATATTTTTAATTAGTGCCAGTTCGCTTTGAAAAAACACGTCTGAAATCCTAAAAATAATTAAAATTGGCGACTATCCGATCGTGGACTGATAACTGTTAGTTTTGGTAGGCAAATTTGTCCACAAATGAGAACCTATAAAATATCAAAATACAGGCAATTAGGTTGAAAAAATGTATTTGAAAACCTCTAAGTGCCTAATATTGGGGATAGAGCCAAATGGGGTAATACCAAATGCCAAAATATGAGTCAATATCGATTTATTTTATTTTGAGGTTACCTTTATATGGCGGCTAGACCGAAACATAGGCCGATATTTGCAATTTTTGGTAAGATGATTTGCTATACAATGAGAACCCAAAATATCAAATTACAGCTAATTTGGTTGAACATCGTGTCCAAAAACCGAATAATGGATGTAACGTTATAAAATGCGGAACAATATTGATAATTTTTGGTAGTAATACTAAGTTACATTCAATTTGGTTTAAAAATCGTGTCTCAAAATACCGAAAATTGAGGTTATCTTTATATGAGGACTATACCAAAACATGGACCGATATTTATAATTTTTGGTAGGAAGTTTTTTTTTGCCACTCAATAAGAACTCAAAATAACAAATTAAAGCTAAATCGGTTGAAAAACGTGTCCAAACCCTCTAATATACTGAAATTCGGGAGATATCGTCATATTGAGGCTACCTTAAAAAGTTTTGATAGTAAAATGTGCTACCCAATGAGAAAACGAAATACCAAATTACAGCTAATTTGTTTGAAAAACGTGCCGATAATCGTCAAAATAACGAAATATGGGGGCTATCCCCAAAACATGGGCAAATATTGATAATTTTTTGTAGGAAAATTTGCTACCATGTGAAAAACACAAAGTACCAAATTATAGGCAATTCGATTGAAAAAAAACACCTATCAATATCCCAAAAAATTACCTATTACATGACAGCATCCTGAAAATTTCTTGTTCTCTAAGCAATTTATTTTCATTTAATATCACATTACCATTCCCAAAATGAGAAAAAAAAACAATAATTACCTCAGCCTCAGGAAAAATGTTTACTTTACCAGCTGAGCGATCCTGTGGCGCTTTCCTAACCTCAAAAAAAATTGTGTTCGGTTAATTGATAGCCAAATTAAGCTAATTAGTATTAATTACAAATATTATCGGATATGTATCTAATACGAATCTATATAACTTAATCAATTGGTGTACAAATGTACGTATGTACATATGAATTTATGTACATACGTACACGTGTAGGTTTGTTTGTTCTTACTACAATTCTCTCTCCACATTCTCAGATAAAAAAATACTACGCAATAAAAACATAGTTTATTAAATGAACATATTTTCTTACTACGCAATATTTTGCACAATAAAATAAAAAGAAGAAGAAAACGTGTAAAGAGCAAGCAAATTGCATATGGTGGCGACGACAATGGTGGGTGAATCAATCAAAAATATACAGTGGGTTTAATGGACATTTTTATTACACTAAAAATATATGAAATTTATTTTGTAAAATTACTCTATAAAAAAATACTGTAATGTCCCTTTAAAAATCCTTGTAAACATCGGCATCCTTTTACATTTCCATATTTAAATTTTGCTTAGAAAATAATATCAAAAATTTATTAATTTCTCTCCTTCTCTTTTCCAGTTTGCAAATCACTCGATATACGCAATAGTCCAGCAATGCTACGACAATTGGCCAATTGTACCGTTATCGAAGGTTTCCTTCTAATAACACTAATCAATACTCGTACCTATTTTCCATTTAACGAAACATTCCCCCTGCTAACCGAGGTCACGGATTTTGTTATTGTCTATCAGGTTGGCTATTTGCGTTCGCTCAGCCAAATCTTTCCCAATCTCAGCATTATACGTGGACGCACCAATTTTGAGGGCTACGCTTTACTGGTGGTCTCCAATTCGCATCTAGAGGATTTGGGTTTACCGAAATTGACAATGATCGGTTCGGGTGTTCGCATCGAAAAGAATAAAATGTTGTGTTTTGTTCACACCATCGATTGGAGTCAAATTGTGGCATCGAATACAACGGAAGTGTATATTGGCGTGAGTATTATTGTTGTTGTTGTTGTGCGATTGTCATAATTATGTATGTGTGTCTGTGTTGCTATTGTTTTTTTTTATTCAAATGCAAAGTAAAGAAAAAATATTCACATTCATTTGTCTTTCTATTTTTAGGTAAATCGTGATCCCATCGAATGTCCATCGTGCCCTGGTGATCTAGATAATTCACCAAATAATCCGGGTTGCAGGCTACATCATGGTCGTCGTAATTGTTGGAATAATAAAGAGTGTCAAAAAAGTAAGTAAACAAATCAATTGCCAGTAACCTCATAAAATAAGCTTTAATGTTTCATCTTCGGAAAACATCGGTAAAATTAGTTTTCTATAGAAATCGACATTTTTATACCCCCTATCATGTGGCGGACATTCAAAATATGCTAAATAAATTGAAAAACTTGCTGAAATAAAACTAGTAAGGAAAGTCGTAAAGTCGGACGGAGCCAACTATATGATACCGTTCACCACTTTGAGTATATTTAACAGATACATCCTTATAAACGTCGCATTTTCGAAGGACCATTGCATGAACTAAAATATGTGATCTCATACTAAATTCTTCATTTGATCCAATATAGAGTCGTTTGCTTACAATGGGATAAAATAATTAAATCGATATAAAACAAATCGCAATCGGACATGCCTTAATTATTTGGAACCCAATTAAAAGGAAGTCGGTGCACCATTTCTTATAAAACGGACGAAAATGTATATGGGAGCCATGTGAAAATCTGAATCGATTTTCTCGAAACTTAACACACATCATTCTAGACTTCAGTACGCTATGCCAAATTCCGTGCCAATCGAAAGATATATTGGAACTTTGATGCTTAATTAAAATAAAATCGGGCGAAATTATACATGGAGCTATATCTAAATCTGAACCGATTATCACGAAACTTAACATACACCATTCTATACTTAATGCAGTACGCTATGCAAAATTTCGTGCAAATCGAAAGATTTATGGGGACTTTGGTACACCATTTCTATTAAATCGGATGAAAATATATATGGGAGCTATATCTAAATCTGAACCGATTTTCTCGAAACTCAACACACGTCCATCTGGGCTTAATTCAGTATGCTGTGCCAAATTTCGTGCAAATCGAATTATATATAAGGACTTTGGTGCACCACTTACATAAAATCGGACGAAAATATATATGGGAGCTATATCTAATCTGAACCGATTTTCTCGACATTCAGCACACGACCTTATAGACTCAATTCATTACGCTATGCCAAATTTTGTGCAAATCGAAAGATATATAGGGACTTGGTGCACCATTTACATAAAATCGGACGAAAATATATATGGGAACTATATCTAAATCTGAACCGATTTTCGCCAATTTCAATTGGGTTCGGCCATGGGCCAAACAAATGAGCTGTACCAAATTTTATCCAAACCGGATTATAAAATGGCCTAGCCAACGTAGTCGCTGCAGTTCGATCCGTCTGTCTTTGTCGATGTCTGAGAATAGATGACGAAGCTCATGGTGCAATCGTCGGCGATATTCACCATCGGAGCAGATCGGCCCATAGATCTTCCGGAGAGTTGTTTCTCTCAAACACTCCACGAGCTGCCTCATCTGCTTGCGCAAGTACCCAGGCTTCAGATCCATACAACAGGACGGGTAATATCAGCGTCTTGTAGAGTGTGAGTTTGGTCTGGCGAGAGGTGGCCTTGCTTTTGAGTTGCTAACTCAGATGATCTGTTGACTAAAACTATTTTGATGTTATTAGATTTGTTTATAACGGTACCGAGCTATATAAAATAGTTCACTACCTCGAAGCTGTAGTTTTCAACTTCCACAGTTGGTCCGAGTCTACTGGACGTCTTGCGCGTTGATATCATCAGCGTGGTCTTCTCGCCATTGGCAGACTCCTTCTCAATTTGTTCAAATGTGGCTGTTACCGCTCGCAACGTTAGACTCATTATGTTGATGTTTTTGTTGTAGTAGCAGCCCTATTGCTTTTACACAATGGGCTGAGGTGACAGACGTTGGCCGGGTAAGACACGGGTCATTTCGGATCGTAGACCCTTGTGTCGTGGAAACGATTATGTCGATGTCGTCGGCGTAGGCGAGAGATCTTTCGTAAATTCATTATACACTCCAACTTATTTTGAAGAGTATAAAAATACATCTGAGAATCCATATTCTATTTTTTGTTTCTATAAAAAAAAAAACTACGAAAAATTGAGGTTATATTTTTTTTCTCATAGCTAAAAATTTTATACAAATATTTTTTTTAATCTTTTTCTACTGAATATTATTGAACTTCATCCTAAATTCATTTGTATTTGTTCATCGCTCTTCTTCTAGTTTGTCCTCAGAGATGCCGTCACAATTGCGTTGATGAGAACACCTGCTGCAATGAAAAGTGTCTGGGCGGCTGTTCGCCCGATAATGTTAACGAATGTGTGGTGTGCCGCAGATATTCCTATAATAAAACCACCTGTGTTGATTCATGTCCTGAGGGACTATTATATGTAAGTTGGATCCTCTCTCTCTCTCTCTTTTAAAAAAATATATTTCAAATTTATCTCATATTTTTCAGTTTCTGGATCGTCGGTGTTTAACCACTGAAGAATGTATTGGAATTAGTTCAATATTTGAAGATAATAAGGCCACACCGTTAATACCATTCCAAGGGAATTGTACTGTCAGATGTCCCGAAAAATATATGAATGAAAATAAGACATGTGTCCCATGCATTGGAGAGTGTACCAAAAAATGTGAAGGAATCGTTATCGATGGAGCAAGTCGCGCCAAGGAATATAATGGCTGCAATAAAATCGAAGGAAATTTAATCATCAATGTCAAGAGAGCGAGTGAGTTATATTTTTTTGTGATTTTGAGTAGCCTGCAATTATCCATTTTCCTTTTTTTTTTTGCTTTTTCAAAGGTCAAATTAATGCCGAATTGGTTTATGGTCTGTCATCTATTACCACAATTACGGGGTATTTGAAAATTCAGGGTACTGTTGGCTTGTTAAATTTGAAATTTTTACCAAATTTAAAAACCATCAAAGGAGAAGAACTCGTTGACGACAAGTAAGTCGAAAGCAGCATATTGTATACAAAAATATTGGATTTTTCTTAATTCCATTCCAATTTCGCCCTCAGATATGCATTATATGTTTTGGATAACACCGATTTGGAGTATTTATGGGATCAATCACAAAATGTCAGCATCGAAAATGGCAAAGTGTATTTCCATTTCAATCCCAAGCTTTGTGTGTCCACAATTAAGGATTTACTATTGCCGATATTGCATCAAAAGGATTTCGATGTAACTGAGGTGGCCTTGGATTCCAATGGTCTTAGAGGTTCATGTGAGTGAGATCACAATGCAATATTCCTACCAACAAATCAAATCAATTCTGTTTTATTTCGTAAATCAAATTTATCGTCATCCTCTTACAGGTAACAGCACCACCTTGGAGGTAGAGGCTTTCAATGTCAAATCTCTCATTGCCTTTGCGCGCATAAAAAATCCCCTCAAATACGACGATGAACGTACCTTTATTGGTTATCAATTCTATCATATGGAAGATCCCTATGGCAATGCCACAAAATATGCCTATAAACCATGTGATGATGAGTATGTATCCAATGTTTAGACATTTTCTTGGCTTGGTATTAAATTCCCCCTTTTTTTTACATATTTTCCTTACTAGTTGGATTGTGGGTGAACCTACCAAGGATCCCGTCTACATTTTCAGTAAACTCAAACCGTACACCCAGTACGCCTTCTATGTCAAAACGATGACAATTTCCACGGAGCGTCGCAGCGGTCAAAGTGATATTAAACATTTCACCACACTATCGTCGCGGCCATCGAGAGTGCGCAATTTGAAATTGTATGCCAATTCGAGTTCTGATATTGTCATTAGATGGTCACCACCGGCTACAGCCAATGGCAAATTGGTTGAATATAAAATACGTGCCATCTATGAAACGCCGGTAACACAATTGGAATCGCGTAATTATTGCAAAGATCGTAAGTATTGGAATTGAAGAAATTTTAGAAAATTTCCAATATCTGTATCTGTAAAGTTAGGGTCGATCGAATGTGGTGTCTGATGATGGTTCTAAAAATTGTTATGAACTAATATAAAACAACAACAATTTATCGAATTCTCATTTTCACAGCCCTCAAGGTTGCCAACACTGAAGATATCATTCCAAAGACTACAATAACAGAGAAGCCACTACATATATCGGACGATTGTAAATGTCCCAAAGGTGGCCAGAAGGGGCCAATAATTACCGATGAAACAGAAATACATGCCGATATCGAATTGGAAAATGCCTTACAGAATTTCATTTATGTTAAGTGAGTTGTAACATGCCCCCTCTCTCTCTCTCTCTATATATATATATATATATATCCCATTATTATAATCAAAATTGTTTCCCACCATTTTATTTTTTTTTTTAGAAAACAAACTAACAATACCACAAACAATAATAGCACGGGCACAAACAGTAATAGCAAGGGCACCAAGAATAATATCATGGACACCAAGAATAATATCATGGACACCACTGAAATGGATCTATTAAATCGAAGTCGTCGTGATGTTATTGAAACCTTGGAAGCGGATGATAGTTTTATATTACGTCACATACGTGAAGCACCCATTAAAACAACCAGCAGCAATGATACCCAAGTCGCGGCAAATAAACCACGTATGGATCCAACCGGATCATATTATGAATATTTTACAACTTCTGTGAATGCGACCACTTTCGAATATACCCTGACCAAATTGAAACATTTCACCTACTATAAAGTGGAAATCGAGGCATGTCGTGAAAGTGAAATAAATAATGATTCGGAAAATTGTAGTGTCATTGTGAATGAAAGTAAACGAACACTTAAATTGGGTAAGTTCAAAAGAGAGAATATTTTAATTGATTTTCATCTAAAAAAAAAAAACAAAATCTTTTTCCGATCTTCATACAGCCGATGTTGATCGTGTGGAGAGCTTATGGTGCAGTACAGAATCCACAAATTCGTCACGCACAAACGTAAGGCTATTTTGGAAACAACCAAAGAGACCAAACGGTGCTGTAGTATCCTATATCATCTACTATGTACTTAAGACGCGCGATGAATACGAAGAAAAGAAATGTGTTACCGAGGGGGATTTCATCAAATATGATTATGAACATAATGGCTATGTGCTGAGTGATTTGCATAGCGGCAATTATAGTATTCGCATTAAAACGAACACCTTGGCGGGTGAAGGTTTGGATTCCGAAACGATATATGTTTTCATACCGGTAATTAGAATTTGATTTTTTGTGGATGAAATATTTTCTATCATCATGGTTGTTTTTTCTTTCTTTTTCGTCTTCTTTTCAGGACAAGACCTTGGATCCAAGCATTATAGCTGGCATAGTAGTGGGATGTTTTGCCCTTATTGGTCTAATCACCGTAATTGTATATCTAATATTACGCAAACGTATTCTACCGCCAACCGACCTGAAACCGTTCCCCCCCTCTATGAATCCACATTATATAAGTGTAGAATATATACCCGATGAGTGGGAAGTGGCCAGAGAAACTGTCATACAATTAAATGCTTTGGGCCAGGGTTCGTTCGGTATGGTCTATGAGGGTATACTGAAGAGTAGCAAAGGTGACACTCCATGTGCCATTAAGACGGTCAACGATAATGCCACCGATCGTGAGCGAATTAATTTCCTAAAGGAGGCCGGTGTTATGAAAAAATTTGATACATATCATGTGGTGCGTCTTCTCGGTGTATGTTCGAGTGGTCAACCGGCTCTGGTCATAATGGAGCTAATGAAAAATGGTGATTTGAAAACATATTTACGTGCTCATCGTCCGGACGATAGAGATGAAGTGGCTGCGAGAAATCTAAGACATCGCGGTGCCATGTCGTCACAGCCACCACCGCTAAGTCGTATCTATCAAATGGCCATTGAAATTGCTGACGGAATGGCATATTTGGCGGCCATGAAATTTGTACATCGAGATTTGGCGGCCAGAAATTGTATGGTTGCCGCTGATTTAACAGTGAAAATTGGTGATTTTGGTATGACTCGAGATATTTATGAAAATGATTATTATCGCAAGGGTTCAAAGGGTGAGCATCGTATTCTATGGTTCCGAGGTAAAATAACTGAATTTAATGTGATCATTGCTTTTATTATTAGGTTTGCTTCCTGTACGCTGGATGTCACCAGAAAGTTTAAAGGATGGCGTTTATTCAAGTGCCAGTGATGTTTTCAGTTATGGTGTGGTATTATGGGAAATGGCCACATTAGCTTCCCAGCCATATCAGGTAAGTGTTACTTTTTTATACCTTTTTTATACTTTGTGCATATGTTTGTAGCAGGCAAAAGGAGAGGAGATATACACATGATTCCTTTTGTCATGAATTTGCTAAACGAATTGCGCTTTTTTTCATCTTTTAGGGCTTTTCAAACGATCAAGTCTTACGTTATGTTATCGATGGTGGAGTAATGGAAAGGCCAGAAAATTGCCCCGACAAATTGTATATGTTAATGCAAAAATGTTGGCAGCATCGAGCGACAGCACGTCCAACATTTATTGAGATCATACGCTACCTTTATGATCTTGCGGATCCGCATTTTCGTGAGGTATCATTCTATAACTCACCCGAGGGGCAAACCATATTGGAGAAAGAATTGGCTGGTGAGTTAAAAGAAAAAGAAAGATGTTTTTTGTTCTTAGAATGACAATAAAAACATTTTTCTCTCCCCCACGTCCCTCATTTACAGAACGCAATCAAAGATCTGGTGATGTTTTCGATGATCTCGACAATGATATGGAAGATGTAACAACACCATTACGTCTCGAAGAATACCGATTAAATACCGATAATAATTCTTCAATAGACCATCGAGGCGACTCTTCAATGGTCATCGACGATGATGCAGCCCATTCACCATACAGGTATGTTTCGCTTTCCTTCACATTTTGTTTCCTTTGATGTTTTGTCCTCTACAATGTCTATAGCATTGAATCGCCAATGGTAATCAGCAGTACACCAGATGAACAATCACGCAGTAGTTACAATGTACCGGGTAATTTATATCCAAATCGTCATTTACTCAATTCGGCACCATCTACATCGGCCGGCATACGAAAACTGGGATCTAGTTCGACTAGTCACAGTCAGTTGACACACCCGCACACACATCCACATCATCGTAATCTCTATCAACCGACAAAGTTCTTGCAACAACAACAGTCGAGAGTACATCGTGACTCGGAGGATGGCGATGCCTATGTTCAACCAGATTTTGATCCGCTCAATGAGGAGAAACGAGATTCCGATGAACAGGGTTATGAGATGTACGATCCCAGTCCAAATTATAGTGAACATGTACCGCATGGTGGTAGTGGTGCGGCGGGTGATGTGGATGATGATGAAGATGATTTTGGTAATCAATCGACGGCGGGACAAAATCTCTTGCAACGTCCCAGAGGCGGGAAACAAAAGCAACCGACCATTATGCCATTGTCCACATCAATGCCAGACGATGTTATTGCCCAACAGCAGGTACCATCATCGTTACACCCCTCAACTGCATCGGCAGCTTCCTCGAATGCATCATCGAAAGCCACAACGACCGGTGGCGGTAAGTACCCCAGCCTCAGAGCTGTGGCTGATTCGGCACGCAATCGTGTAATGAACATGAACAAACATATCTTTCACAAACGTTCCGGTAGTAATGCCAGCCACAAAAGTACAAATTCCAATCCGACAACGGGAGGGGCGGGCGGTAGTATTAGTAATTTGGCACGTACAGGTCGTGGCAAGAGTATGAGCGGCCAAAATCTGGGCACCATTGAAAGTGGTGGTAGTGGCAGCACGGGTAGCTATACTGGACATCCGCGTTTCTTTTCCACCTCCTCGGGTACCAGTGATAATACCAATTATCGACGTTTGGATGACGATGATACAAGTCGTATACGACCACGCCTACACTCGGCCTCGGCATTTATGATGGGATCATCACAACCGACCTATAAAATGTTGGATGAATCCCTTAACACCTCGGGCACAACATCAACCCTAAATACCACCCTGGGTGGTGGAGATACTACCAATTATGAAATAATGCAACCTGGTGGTAGTGCTACACCACTAATAGAGAATGAGACTGGATCCACGTATGTTATGATGAATGAACCTTCGTCGCAAAAGAAAATAGCTGATGCAGGTGGTGGCGGAGGAATGGGTGGTGGCATTATGGACATTGGCGATGTGGCAAACTATCAAATAATGTCACCGCTAATGCCAGGGAACTCTAGTAGCAACCCAGTATTACCAAGATCAGGATCAACGGCAGGCCAGCTAACACGACCTGTACTTGGCGATCGCCTTAATACCTTTGCCAATATGGCGACAACAGCAGCATCTTCATTAAATTATGACAGGCATCATAATGATGAGAGTAGTTTCATCAATAATGATTATGATGCAAATCCTCCCAGAACAAGAACAGCATCAAACGACATACCCATGGATGATTTATCATTAGTGAGACGTAACAGTAGTAGTAATAGTAATAATAGTAATAGTAATGACAGGACAACGAAAACCGATCGAAGTCGTAGCCAAAGTAGTAGTAGTGGCAAAAGTGCAACAAACACTGCCTCCCTATCGGTAACGCCTACACCAACATCACAACAACAACCGCCACTAACAAAGCCGTTAATTGATACATCGGCGACAGCAACAAACGCCGCACCATTGTCCTCGAAATTTTCACGTAAAGAACAATGGTTTAAAGAACAACAGCAACCAACGACCACAACACCAACTTCACAGCTACCCCCACAACCACCACCAAATGGTTTTGTGGGCCGTGAATCGTAAAATATAAATAACAACAACAACGAAAAAACATGATTAACCTTTTTAATCATTATTACAAATGAAAAAAAAACGAGATCAAGACTCGCGAATAATTTAAGGCCGGATTTTGTTACAAAATTGTTATGTTTTTGTTTTAGGCTTTAGAAAATACAAGGTCGTCCAACACATTTCTAAGAATTCCCTATACGCAACACATATAAGGGTATGTAATTATAAATACATTTGTGTGCTCGATATTTTTAAAGAATTTTTACAACCTCGACATAACCTCACATTTTTAGGTAATACAACAATTACCTATAAATGTGAGGTTATGTCAAAGAAAGAGTTTAAGAGATTTATAAATTACTCTTCAAAATAAATAGTTCAAAAATAGAAAAGTCATAGAGATGAAAAATCACACGGATAACTTAAAGTGCCTTTCCGACATCAGACAATTTAATTCGTAAAATCTCACAAAATTAAACGACACGAAAAATAAAATGTTAAAAAGGGAAAGCTAAACAAATTTCCACAAATACCCAGAAAGTAATTCCATATTCATAATCTTAAACAAAGAGTTATGTTATGTGGCAAATAACAATTGAAAATATTTTATTTTATAAACTCTTTCCTTAAGAAATGGTTATCCTTTAACAAGAATATACAAATTACTAAAAATATATCCAATGAGATCCCTCTCCAGTCTTCGAAAATGCGTACTGTTGGTTGGATACTTTCGAAACAAGCTACTAATTGTTTTATTGTTCGATTTTAAATTGATTCAGATGCCTAGCAAAACACATTAAAAACACGTTACAAAGTCCGGCTAAGAATAAACCAAATATGTATTTATACACACACACACACATAAAATCCATACAAGCAAACAAACATACATACGAATTCATTCACTTCTTATAGGAACAATAACAACAACCACAACAATTTAAACTACTGACTTAGTTGAATATACAACTGCGTTTGTAAATAATTGTGAAAATATAAAAATAAAACAACAACAAATGCCCTAAAATACTATAAAAAAGAATAATAAAATATTATATAGAAATATAAAGAATACGGAAATTTATGTACATATACCCATATACATATGTATATATATTAATATATACTAACAATAATTGCATTATTAAATTTATATATATTTTATATTTAAAGATAGGGGAAACAACAAAAACACAACATTTTGAATGTTTATATATTTAATAAAAAAAACAACAAAACAAAAATATAGAATATATTTCAAAATATACATACGTACATTATATATTACACACACACATACAATACATATTAAGAAGAAACCTAACAGTAACATCAACTTAATTATACGCTTACCATTATAAAGAAAAACCAACAAACGAAATATATTAAAAAAAAAAAACATAAAAAAAGAAAACGAAACAAAAAATATCTTTGGATGTAACAATAAGCAAGAAATAGGAAAAACAAACATACATACATAAACAGAAACACTACTAAGAAATTAAAAAATAAATAAATGCAAAATATACAAAACAAAGTGTTTAGGAGAAGAAAAAAGCAAAAGAACTATATATAATTGAATATACCAATAGGTTTATATATAACATTAAAAAAAATGAACCCTTCAAAAATATATTTATATATACATTTCTATATATAAATATATTTATACCTATATATACATAGTAATTATTTATATACAAACAAAAAAATCTGAATATATTTTATACAATTACAAATTAAATGCCAAAAACAAACACAAACAGAAATAATAAAAAAACACTACACATACACACACAACCGCAGAAGAGGAGACATTAACAAAAAACAAATATATCATTATTGGATATAAAAACAAACAAAATCTTATATATAAATCAATTTATATATATATATATATATATATATATATAGTAGTACCAAGAAATCTCCTCAAGGGAAAGATTATATACTCTTTATACAAAACAAAAATAAATATATATACTATATAAATAGCAGAAAAACAAGAAGAAGCAAACAATTCCATAACAAGTTCAAATGTTTTTTTTTTTTAACAAATAATTGATTTTGATTCTATAGAATAAAAATTTTGAAGTTTTTGTTATACAACATTTACAGAATACAGGAATAAATTATTGAAAGCTGACATTAAAAACAAAACTTTTAATAATAGAGAATAAGACACAAAAATGTGGGAAAACAACTGAAGGAAGACTTTATAGACGATCCGAGGCAGGCAGTATTGATTGGTGAACTTTTGCCTGTTTTTATATACCATATACCAGCTGATGAAAGTAGACTTTGAAGGCGAACTAAAGTTTGCCTTTAAATACAATCTGAAGGTTGCCATTAAAAACGTGGGAAATCATTTAGTCTTCATAGACAAATTTTAACCGGTAGTGTCTTTATAGACCGACTGAAGAAAATCTTTATAGCCACCTATGTATTTTCTGATTAAGAATCTGATAATTTCTTCAGCATTGATTTCATTTTAAACTTTGAAAGAGGCATGAGATCACTGACCCCATGGAGTTGTTACATCCTGGTGCCTTTATTTCAACGTAGGTTTTATGAGCCACTTCAAAAGACTCATCAACTGATTGCTAAATCTACTGTGTGACCACCGCTTCTATTTTTATGTCCCCAACTAAGACTAACACAATATATTTCTAAAGAAAAATTTGTCCCCTAGAAACATTTTAATAAAATTCCTAAAAATTAAAAACAAAGAATTAAGTACAAGGTTGTTCTACAATAATCTCCCTTTTAAAAAAATTAAATTTAATTTCCAAATGTCATTAAACCTAACCTAGAAAACCTATTGGAATCAAAATCAAGTTCTTTTATATAATAAAAACTATGTAAAAAAAGAAAAACTTTTGAGCTTGTTCTACTACTTACAGTGCAATTCATGTGTTCTTTAATACTACTATATTGTTAAAACTACAACAACAACAAGAAAAAACAGTTATATATATTTATTCTGGAATTTGTTAACAATACTCGTAAATAGCTTGATCTATATAAATATTAAAAAATATATCTGATATCTAGAAAAAAATCTAACAACAACAATTTAATAATGATGTCTTCGTCTCATATATAAAAAAAATAATACATAAATAAACAGACACACACACACGTATACATTCTCAGACATAGCCACAAGTCATATACAACACCTAAAATACGTAGAGTATAAAAAAAAACAAACTAAACAAAGTTGGGGTTGGAGTTAAACAACACACGTATGCTTGTATATAGAATAGCTAACATATTTTTGGAAAATTGAATTTTTTTAAAGTGCAATATCTATTACTACAACATTTTTTTAAGGGGACCCGATATATAGCGTTTTTCTCGAAACGGTTGTTTTTTTTACGAATGGCGGCGGGCACGATCATTCAAAAACTATTAATCTAATCCGTTCCAAATTTTCAAACACGTTATTATGTACATGCATAGCTATCATATGAACCAGGATACATTTAATCGCTCAAGATCTTCCTTAATTTCTAATTTCATTTGTAGTCAAAAATATTGAATTTTCCAAAAAATCCAATTTCATAGGCCCTCTATTTTGTTAATTTTTTGCGACGTTAGTAAGAATGTAATTTTCTTTAGTTAGAAAAACCAAAAACAACAACAAAAATGATGTCCAATAATTTGCTTATCCTTTGCCAGCCGTTTTAAAATTGGGGAGGTTCCTCAAGGGAATAGAAAAGTCCTTATTTTGAATGCCGGGCATGATATCGGAATCCAAACATCGGAATCCAAAAATTCCAACGGTGTTACAAAGGGTACATGTCTGGTTCTCGTATGAACTAGGATTATTGGCTTCGCTCAAAAATCAGCAAAATGGCGGACCTTTAAAAAATATATTTTTGAAAAATCGCCTATTCTTTAACACAAACGAAGTTAAAAAATAAGGAAGATGTTGACCGATTGCATTTATCCTAGTTATTACGATAGCTATACACTCACAGGGAAACGTTGCAAAATTTGGAATCGATCGGATTAATAGTTTTAGAGTTACTGGCCCGCTATTCGCAAAAACGCTGTTTGGAGAAAAATGCGTTTAAAGTTTGAGAAGCCCTCTTGCCGCCACTTCATGCTTACACAATAAGTCGGCTATATCTTCTAGAGTTGTTGAGATTTTCACTTCATTCTTAAATTAGTGTAGATTCGAATTAAATCAAAATAAAAAATTAATTTGTTTTTAATCGAGAATGGGTTTTTTTTTTTTGTTTTAAAATTGCGTTGCCTTCCTAGAAATATGTATACAATTATTAGTCAAATTGTTTCTGTTTTATTTTTTCAAATTGTTATAGAAAACTGAGATCATAATCGTATTTAAAATTATATTTCGAATGCAAGCCTATTTCAATATAATTTTATTTGTAGTGTACATTTTGTAAATATCATATGAACTTATGGGGTATTCGATTTGATCCACATTTCGCAACAATTAATTTGTTTATAAAACCTAGATCCAATCCGAATTCCGTTTGAAGTGAATGGAATTTCTGAAATGATACATTGCTCATTGTAAAAATTAAAAAAAAACCTAGATCGAGTTCTATAATGAGTTCACTCTATGATAATACATGGGTCCACAAATTGCCAACATTAAAAAAAAAAAAAAAAACATTTAAATTTCATATGGAGAGCATCATTGAGCATCGGACTTAGTCCAAATATTTGCACACCGTAATATAGTACTGGTAAAAATTATTGCAGTATAGAGTTATTAGGATAAATGTTGTTAATATCTTCCATAGGCTGAGGGTATATAAGTTTTTCGGCAACACACACTGATGCTTTTTAGCAAGGTTTAGTTCATTCCAATAGGACCAGTTTTAAATGCCTCTTTATTTCTTTTTTACAACACCCTAAATTCTAAAATATAATGCATATAGCTATTCGTTTAACTCCATTAACTCCCCAATCAAATAAAAAATGGAACAACTAACCTGTCTCTCATCAAATACATACAACCCATATACGTACAT